GAAAAGTTCGCACCTTATATGTTTTAATTCCTGCTGGTCGTAAGTAGGAGCAGACCATCCAGCAATCCTCCTGATCAGCACCTCTGATGAGTAGCTCCCGAATAAAAGTGTGCAAATCAGTACAGCAGAGGCCTGATAAAACTTCAGCCAAAGAATTTAATGAATATTAGGGGTGACTTCATGTTTGGCTTCTCTTGGTTGTGTACAATAATTTCATCAAGAAAAAGGTTAAAAAAAAACAAAAATTTGCCAGCGGAAATTTACCGCAACACTGTCAATGATTACATTTATAATAAATAAGAATTTATACCTTGAAATATGTTGGAGTGGGTTTGCCAACTTGAAGTTAGATATTTGTTTTTCTATTATCTTTTCTTTCCTCCATGTTAAATGTACAAAGTGAATGTTGTAGTTGGTTGGCTCGCCAAGCTGGTTTGTTGTTTCGCAGACGTTTCATTACCATGCTGGGTAACATCATCAGTGCAGACTCCGATGAAGTGCCATTGTGTTTTCCCGCCTGTTATTTAAACTCTGGAGTACGTTGACTGGATTACCTTACTTCCGGTTTTCCTCCACAGTGGAATGTATATGAGGTCGAGCTCAATGTGTTTGTTGATGGCTTTCTTCGTGGAGTACCAGGCTTCTAGGAATTCCCATGCTTGTCTCTGCTTTGCTTGTCCCAGGATCTTGGTGCTGTCCCTGTCGAATTGGTGGTTCTCCTTATCCATGTGGATAGAGATGAGTGAGTACTGGTCATGTCTTTTTGTAGCCAATTGATGTTCGTGTACCCTTGTGGTTAATTTCCTTCCTGTTTGTTCGATGTGATGTTTGTCACAGTCTCTGCAGGGAATCTTGTATATGACATTGGTCCTGCCCATAGTGGATAGTGGGTCTTTGGTTCGGGTGAGCAGTTCTCGGAGGGGTGATGTGGGTTTGTGTGCTACTCTGATGCCCAGTGGTCGTAGGAGTCTTGTGATCAATTCAGATGTGTTCCTGATGTAAGGTAGTGTGAGGAGTGTGTCGGGGGATAATGGTATCTTCCTGGTGTCATTCGTGTAATAGGCATCTTCTGACCCAGTTTTTCGGGTATCCATTGTTTCTGAATACCTGGAAGAGGTGCTCTTCTTCTCTTTGGCGTAGCTCTGTGCTGCTCTAGTGTGTTGTTGCCCGTTTAAATAATGTTCTCACGCAACTTTATTTGTGTGTCTTAGGATGGTTGCTGTTGAAATTCAGTACTTGATCAGTGTGTGTGGCTTTCCTGTGTACCTTTGTTAAGAAATCTCCATTTGTCCCGCGCTCTACCATGATGTCCAGGAATGGGAGCTGTTTGTTTTTCTCCTCTTCTCTGGTGAATCTGATTCCGGTGAGGGTGTTTTTTTATTAGTTGGTGTGTCTCCTCCAGTTTGGTCCATTTAATAATGACGAAGGTGTTGTCCACGTAGCGTATCCATAGTTTTGGTTGGATTAGCAGAAGGGCCGTACTTTCGAGTCTCTGCATCACCACTTTGGCTATTAGTCCGGAGATAGGTGATCCCACGGGTGTCCAGTTGATCTGTTCATATATTTGGCCGTTAAAGGTAAAGTGGGTGGTGAGGCATAGGTCCAGTAGCTTCAGCGTGTTGTCTGTGGAGATGGTGTCATTGGGATTCACCATTTCATTTCAAAAATATACTTTATTCGTGAAAAAAATCTTTGTACATAGACATTGACACAAAAGCAGTTTGGTTCTGTCCAGTTGCATATCAAGTAAACATTAAACATTGGAGTTTGAATATACACAAAACCAAAGACCTCTTTTACACATGCAATATTAATATTTACTATATTTGACACACTAGGAGGGTCCAATAACTGAACGGACTCCCATTTACCTTCAGCAGGAGGTTCAGCCCTTGTGAGGAGTGCTAGCCCAGGATGGCCAGGCTCTTATGAACTATGGTGTTGCACTATTAGCTGTTTCTTTGTTTTCCACTTTTTAGAAAGAAGGACTGTAATGTTTAACTTTTTAAATTTTGCTTTCCTTATTTTTCTGTTCTGTACCTAAGATTCTGTACCGAGGTACTTTTGTACCTTAAATGGCACTGTGAGTGAGTACATATGACAATAAACCTAATTCAATGAAATTCAAACTCTTCTAATTAACTACGTATTACACCCCAATGGTGCCATGCTAGTCCAATGCTAGCCCGGTTCTCTCACTCACAGTAGCCATAGTACTGTCAGGATATACCATAATCCCTGGCACTGGTACCATCTCTAACCCTCAGCTTTGCACACAGTCTATTTTTGGCAGTCCAGAGTTGTCCTTCACTTTGCATGTGTGACAGCATTCACTAACCAAAGCTTATCACATAAATGGCATGGCTGGCACTTCAATGAACATTCCCACACCTGTTGCTGTTAAAGCACTGGATCACACAGTTCTCATGTCCTTATCCATATCCTGTCTTATAACCCCCCTTAAGACACTGCTTCTTTTTCTCCAATGCCCATGTAGTTCTGCATCTTGACATTGTTTGATGTCGGACCATCACATAAAGAGAAGCCTTCAATCACTTCAAAACATTAACTTTTATTCACCAACACCAAAACGGAAGACAGATTAAACAGAAAGTCGTATTTGTCTCTTGGAACTGAAACAAAGTGCTTGCATGTCAAGCATCAATTATTCTGAGTCAATGAGTGATCAATACACCAACTCTCGGCTATTTAAACTAGTTATTGACAAAGTTCTGTCTGGCCAGACATAGCCACTGGATTGTTGCTCATGTATTTCCCATGTATGCCATTGATACATACTGTAGCTGTGAGACTGACATGGCACTGCCATACAGCAAAATGCCCAATTAAAGTCACAGAGTCGTACAGCACAGAAACAGATCCTTTAGTCCAACTCATCCATGCTGACCGAGTTTCCCAAACTAAACTATTCCCACTTGCTTGTATTTGAACCATATCCCTCTCAACCTTTTCTATTCATGTACCTATCCAAATGTCTTTCAAATTTGTAACTGTACCTGTATCTACCACTTCTTCTGGCAGTTCATTCCATACACTAACCACTCTCTGTGTGAAAAAGTTGACCCTCAGGTCCCTTTTAATCTTACTCCTCTCACCTTAAAAAATATGCCCCCTGGTTTTGAAATTCCCCAACTGAGGGAAAAGGCCTTTGCGAGTCATCTTATCTAAAACCCTCATGATTTTGCTGACAGGCATGACAAGCTGCCTAGCTTGGTACCAGCGCTAAGCAACACAAGACATAAATATTATGAGTTTTTAATGTCTGGATGAGGGGGCAAAACGCAAAAAGACAAGGGAAGGCAGGGATTCTGTGGGCATCCAGGTAGATGCAAAGTGAGTGAGTGCTAAGAAAGCAATTGAGCAGCTCTGAGATGCAGCCTGGTCCCATCCTGAACTAAAACATAGAACCATAGAATCCCTATAGTGCAATTTAGCAATTTAGCATGGACTATTCATCCAACCTGCACATCTTTGGACTGTGGGAGGAAACCCAGAGCACCTGGCAGAAGCCCACGCAGATACTGTGAGAACGTGCAAACTCCACACAGACCCAAGGCTGGAATCGAACTTGAGTCCTTGGCACTGTAAAGCAGACATGCTAACTACTGTGCCACCATGCCACCCTTTCCTCACAGCAGCGTTGCAATGAAAGATGCTGTTATGCTCCAAAGCACTGAAATGCAATATCATATTGTCAAAGGATGAAAGAGTCACAAGGTACTCACTCTGATTTTCAGATAAGGAATTCTTGGTGTCTAGTTTCTATCAAGCAGGTAGAAGACTTTGACACTCCATACTAATGAGGTGGGATTAAATCCTAACAAAGGTAACAATGAGCACCAGTCTACGTTAATAGACCTCTCACCATTCACCAGCGAGAATCTCATCTAAATGCCCCAACATTTCATTGGAAAATGAGACTTTCTGGTCTTGACATTGAGGAGGATCTTGCTGGACATCATCTTAATGTAGTCCAAGTTGTTCTGGGACTGAGAAAATTCTGCCCTTGGTTGCACATTACAACCAGTGTTTCAAAACAAAAAGCAAGTAAATAATAACAAGAACAAGGTTGATTCAATTACTTTTCTTTACAACTCAAGCTTAAAGATGTTCATTGTATGAAGAATTACAGTTGGAGCCATTCAAAGGAATACAATATATTAAAATATTTTGTCTCCAATTACCTTACAATTCAGTTGAAGGAAACAGGAGACACATGACTTCCATCATTTAATTATATAGCTTGATCTTTCATTGGTAATATTTGAATGCTTACTGCATTTGGAGAATCGTTAAAATAACCAGGCATACTTTAATGACTTTTTGCTACTCAATTTGAATATTTATTAGATTTTCCCATTGAAATTGGTACAAAATGCAAATTAGCTGTGTTTCTCTTAAATTTTGCTGTGTTCTAAAGTGTACGTTTCTTACTATCTTCTCTTTTAAATGTGGAATGTACAAAAGCCATAAATCTCTGTGGTCTGTTAAATTTTAATGGCTCAAATTGGCACCAGCTTCAAGCTAGAATACGTTTCTCTGCTGATTGGTGCTGATGTTCTGTGTCTGTGACTAGGCTTAACGCAGGGAAATTCATCCGTAAAAGATTATATCGTTCAGTGTCAGCAGAGGTCCAGATTCCAATCCATTCCAACCAGCCCACTCCCCAGTCCAATATTATCGCACCTGCACTGAATTTCTCTGCATGCTTTTTGAATTCAAGTGTTGATCAGTTGATTTTAAACAGGTTAACATCCAGTTTAAAAAAGAAATACAGAGAAAGTTATTACTTCACTCTTAAGTGCTTGAGCAGGACTAACAGACCATTTAAACACTCAGGAAACATTTTGTAACAGATAACAAACAGTGCGAGAAAATGTGTAATACACTGTTACCATTGTCTTGTCTGTGATGAAATTGTTACACTGTGCTGGTCTGAATCAAAGAAATAGCTTGAAGAAATAAATTAAACAACTAACCTTTGAGTCATCCATTCCCAGCTTTTCTACTGATTTTCTGATGTAATCCACAAAGGATGAAGACTTAGAATAGATCTTGCCAACATTTTTGTTTCTGTAAAGTGCCAAATGTCATAAGATACAATCATTTTTGATTAAATTTACTACTAAAAGAGCTATAAACAGTTTAATTGCAATCACTTATTCTGACACTGGAATCCATGTTTTAAGTAAATTTTCATTATTTTAACAAGAGATGAGACAGATAGATAATATGCCATTACACAGAAATTCCTTGGATCTACAAAGTCCATGTTTCTCACATTCAATCTCAGCGTTTCTTCATAAAAGTGAAAGAATTAGATTTCCAGCACCTGGAGTATTTAGCTTTTGTTTTATAAAGATTTGGAACAGCTTTCTCAATTAGCATGCAGTTCAGCTGTTCACTCAATATTCATTTTGATAGATCAAATATTTTTAAAATGATTTTGGCCTTACAGACAATGGGAAAAAAAGAGCCCATCAATGCCCATAAAAGCGTTATATTTTTCATAACACTTGCTGACACTTGCATATCACACAGCATTGTCCTTCTGGCTGAAATACTTCCAAACTACAGTATCAATTTTACAGCACTGTTATGTTTAAGTCAGTGACCCAGATTTTCTGCCCATTTCACCCACCATGATACTGTGTGGTCTTCTGGCATTGGCTGCATTTTCCTCTATGGCGTTGCCAAGTGAGGGAATTATTGGCCTCTGATCGATCACCAGTTCTCACTAGGCAGAATTTCCATCCCTGGAGTCTTCATTCTAGGTGGAAGTCCATCCAGGGCCTTGCTAATGCCTGATGGCATTCAACTCAAAAACAAAAATAGAATTTTCTGGAAAAGCTCAGCAGATCTGGCAACATCTGTGAAGAGAAATTAGAGTTAACGTTTCAAGTCTGGTGACCCTTCCCCAGAATAGTCAACAGTTTCTGAGGAAGGGTCACCAGACCTGAAATACTAAGTCTGATTTCTCTTCACAGATGCTGCCAGACCTGGTGAGTTTTTCCAGCAAATTATGTTTTTGCTTCTGATTTATAACATCTGCAGTTCTTTTGGCATTAGATTCCACGTGCCTTCCCTAGAAGAAGCAGTGTGGGTCTCGTGCCAGCTCTTCTGCCTCTGCTGTTCAACAAAATTCCACCCAATATTTCAAGCTAAATATGACCTGTTCACAACTGAAGAATGGCAGAAAATAATATTGGTTATATGCTGTCAAAAGCAGGAAGGGGAAGGCACAACAAAAGAGAAGGCCTGGGTTAAGTTGGTTGGCAGGAGATATTAAATGACAAACTTGTATGGAACAAAAGACAAGGGGAATGGAAAATAAAAATAAAATACGTAAATGTTGGAAATCTCAAATAAAAACAGAAAGTGCCAGGGAAACTTGACAGGTCTGGCAGAATCTGTGGACACAGAAACAGAGTTAACTTTTCAAATCCAAAATGACTTTTCTTCAGAACTGAAGAACATAGAACAAATGGACTCAAATCATTAACTCTACTTTTCTCTCTACAGATGCTGCAAAGAAAATAGTACTGGGTCACAGTAAAGAGACAAAGCATTTTTCCAGAATGCAAGGCCAGAATAATGAACAGCTTTGTCCAGAAGTACAAACATTAAAAACAAGACTCAAACTGCCCATGGCAAACAATAAATGAAAAATTGGGGTAAGAGGTCCTGGTGTGAAATTGTCAACTCAATATTAAATCCAGAAGGCTGTAAAATGTCTAAACAGAAAATAAGCTACCTCAAGTTTTAGTTGAGCTTCAGTACAACACTGTAACAGGCCAAGGATAGAAAAGTAAGCGTGGAAGCAAAAATGTGAATAGAAATAACTAGCAACTGGAAAGCCAAGGTTAAGCTTTTATAGACTAACTGGGAAAATTTCACACAGGAATCATCAGCCTGCATTGCATCCTCTCAAGGTACAGGGGACCGTTTTGTGAACTCTGAATGCAGCATATAAATTTCAAAGAAGTACTAGTAAATTCTTATTTCACTTGGAAAGAGTGTTTGGGGTTTTGAATGATGAGGGGAGAGGCAGTGCAGGTGATTGCTTGGGAAGATACAATAGAAAGAAGACAAAATGTTGAGGGTGATTGACGAGCGGACTAAAGTGCAATAGAGAGAACACCTCTTGGAAATGTTGACAGGTGAAAGGAGCGAAGCTGTTTTTGGTGGTGGCAGCATGCTGAAGGTGCTGGAAAATAAGAACAAATGTTGAGTTGAACAATGAGGCTTGAGGGATGGAAAGGGAAGAAAAGGAAAACCCTATCACGAATCTGGAAGAGAGTGAAATGGATGATGTAAATCATTACAAGTTATGATAGGGTATATATAGAAAGATTAACTTGTTCTGATGGTCAAGGCCAGAAAAGGGGGTGGGGATATTATTTTAAAATTAGAGCCAGGTCATTCAGGCTGTTGTCAAAACCACTTCTTCATAAAAAGTGGTGGAAATCTGAAACTCTGGTCCCCAAAGAAACTGATGATGCGAAGTCAATTGAAAATTTCAAAATTCAGGTTGAGACTTCAGTTGGGCAGGAATATGCATGTGTAGGTAAATATATATTAGTTATGAGTCAAGAATGCAACAGAAAATATATATGTGCATGTGTGTGGTGCACTAAATGACCAAATCCTGTTCTTACGTTTCTAAAATTTAGAGCCATATCAGTGTCTTGAAATTAGCAATTTGCTGTTGGTTGCAACACCAAATGACACTGCAACTCTGGATCAAAGATGTGCATTAACAACAAGAACAGATCACCCTTATTGCAAAATTCACTTGTTGCTGAGATAACCAGGCTTCAGCTGACAAGTGACAAGTAACATTTGTGCAACACAATGCCAAACAATGACCATCTCCAACAACAGACAATCTAACCACCGCCCCTTGACATTCAAATGGTACTACCATCACTGAATCCGCCACTAGCAACATCCTTGGGGTTACCATTGACCAGAAACTCAACTGGACTTGCCACATAAATACAGTGGCTACAAAAGCAGGTCAAAGGTTAGGAATGCTGCAGCAAGTAACTCACCCTCTGACATGTCAACGCCTGTCCACCATCTACAGTACTCCCCACTTGCCTGGATGGATGAAGCTCCAAGAACACTCAAGAAGCTTGACACTATCCAGGCAAAGCTGCCTGTTTGATTGGCACCACATCCACAAGCATTCACTCCTTCCACCACCAGCACTCAGTAGCAGTAGTGTGTATTACCTACAGGATGCACTGTAGAAATTCATCAAAGAACCTTAGACAGCACCTTTCAAACCCAGCAGCACTTCCAACTAGAAGGACAAGTGCAGCAGACACATGGGTACGGCATCACCTGCGAGTTTCCCCTCCAAGTTGCTCACCATCCTGTCTTGGAAATATATCGCTGTCCCTTTACCGTCACTGAGTAAAAATCCTAAAATTTCCTCCCAAGGGGCATTTTGGATCAACCCACAACACATGAACTAAAGTGGATCAAGCAGACAACTCACTACCACCTTCTCAATGACAACTAGGGATGGACCATAAATGCTCGTCAGCCAGTGATGCCCATATCCCATGAGTGTATTTAAAAAAAATACTCTGCTGCCAAATTGTGAACACTTCTGAAGTATAGACTCCTGCATCGGGGACCTAAATTGAAACTTTCCAAACTTCTCTTACTAGGAATCTGTCACAGTTGGCACAAAGAGTTGTTTTGTCGTCTTATCATGTTAGGCTTAATTAACTGGATGTGAAACCGGAATATACAAGTCAATCCTACTAGCCAGTCCTCTGGTTCTGTTTTGAATAATCGTCTTCAGATGCTGCGAAATAAACGTACTATTCCCCATTAAGTCTTTGTCAGAAAACATTCATGACATGCTAATTGTAATATTCTTCAAATTTCATGCAAACTTCCAAAACATACTTCGTTCTTTGCAGTGCGGTATATGCCTTTCCATTTCCAAAGTGTTCTTTGATAATAACTTGCAGAACTGCACGATAAAATAAGGATTCGGAAGGAAGCTGCCAACAATAAAAGAACTAGTCACTGTCAATTCAGAACAAATCAACAAATGTAATTTAGCACATTCATAGCAAAGGGATTAAGTGTGTAATGGCTTTAATAATAACAATCCCCAGTGATCTTAACAGCTGGTAAGAGTATTGTAAAAATTCCATAATCACAGAAGTACCAGCTATTTACAATACAGAGTTTATTTATACTTTTAAATTTTTCATGCCAAAATCAATCCCGTTTTGAGTTTTCATTCTGGCCCTGTTTTGTGGTTTTTGCTGGAATCGCTTTGGGAATTCTGGGATATTCTGATTAAAAGATAAGCACCAGATGAATTCTGAAATTTGTCACACTAACAGAAATGATGGAAACAACAATAAATTCTACAATATGGTCTTCTGTAAAATGGGCAACAGGTCCTCTAAATAAGCAATAAAACTAGCAAATAATTATTCATCAGCAAATAAAATCTGAATCTCTCTGTACTTTTACAATAAAATATGTCACAAAACATTTCCTTTACTATTTGTAGTAAAAGTCATCTGTAAAGACTATGTCTTTTTATTTTTCTATATTTTTGATTGTGAACCGAAATGGGAAAAGAACTGTTTTAAAAAGACTGAAGAACCACTGCAGTTTTTAAAAGCAAGGGACATGGCACTGTAAGCACTGTTTATGCAGCTGTTTGTTCAAGTAGTTGAAATATAGTTTGCAGATGAGCCGGAACCGAGGCATATGTACATATGGAGATTCAGCCAACCGATTGGTCTGTGGACTAGGGACAAGTTATTGATAACCAAGGTCTTCTGCCTGCCAACAACTATGTGATCAGTTCTTAGGTAGCTGAACAGTTTGAGGCTAGGAACAGAATATTCAGAAGCCTTCACATCTCCACCGGTTCCGGAGCTCTCTCTGTTCTCTGCAGTAAAAGCCAATTTCAGTATGAAGAAAACCAGTTTATCTTTCCTTCAGCAATTGCTGTAAGTTGTCACTTTTAATTAATAAGTCACAGATCTTCTATTAGTATGCAACAGTCACTCTATGCCTCCTAAATTAGTGAAAGCATCCGGATAGGGAGCACAGAAAAGCATTGTTCTGACCAACACCTGAACTAGTTCAGCAAATCCTGTGAAAAGAGACAACACAACTGCTTTCCCAATTTTTCCTCCATCCATAACACTTGCATCTTTTTTTTCTATCTGTGCCTATTTGTGCAGCTGAGATGCTCGTAAGGGGATTAGAGATTTAACTAGTAGCGTTATAGGTTGACAGTTCACAATTGTTTGCCTATTGCTACAGTCTACTTACCCGTAAATAGTAATTCTTGTTATGCACAGAAATCTGGTCCATTCTTTCTGTCAACCTGGGCCTAACAGAAAACTTGCTAGAAAATTGGGAAATTCTGCATGCATTTTAAAATATTTAACTTTTGTGATCACTCAGGGAATGGCTAAGCTTGATTTCCAGTGCACTATCCCAGTGAGGCATAACATATCACAAATGATAGAAATATTTGTTTAATTTACTACTACATGAACGAATGAACTATAGTACAAAGCAGGGTAAGGGGAAGGTTTATATTAACTTCTTACGAATTCATTTATCAAAGGGACAAAGTGCCCAATTTAAAGGGATCTCATTTCTTTCTACGAAGAATTAATGTGGAACATACGGCAAATCACAATAGAAATTATATATGTTCTTGCTTGAGATAAGCTTCTTGAGATTTTGCACATGAACTACCTGGTGTTTTAAGAACTCTTAAGAAAAATTAGTATTCTTACACAGCTCAAAATTAAGAAGTAATAAAAGCAAAAAGTTTATCCAATAGTCTCAAATCACAGTTCAAGTTGAAAGTGTTTTAAATTACATCAAAAAACTTCCAACACTTTTACACAACTAAAGATAATTTTTCCTCCAATTTTTTAATTTGTGTTATGTTGGATTGCGGCTCCAGAATCACTTACAGTTCTGCAGTACCTCACAAAAGGTTATTCTTCACAATAGATAAAATTCAACAATTGGAGATGCCTTATCATCAAGCCATATCAATTATAGAATAAATCGTACATAAAACAACAACAAAAAATTTCATTTACTTTGCAGCTTTAAACAGAAAAATTATGAGGTGAGCTGATGTGAAAGTGATTACCTTTGAGGACAAAACAGTGTTTGAGTGAATATAGCATGAGGAAGACTAAGCAAATTGAAGTAAATGGAAATTGGGGAAAAAACTCTCCATTGATTGGAATCTTATCTAGTATAAAGGAAGATGGTTGTCATAGGTCAATCATCTCAGCTCCAGAATATCACTGCAAAAGTTCTTCATGGTCGTGTCTTAGACTCAACCAATTTCAGATTTCCTCCATAGTTATAACAAAAGTGGGGTAGTTGCTGACAACTGCACAGTGGTTAACACCTTTTGCAACTCCTCAGATACTGACACAGCCTGAGCCTGCAGAAAGACTGGACAAAATTCAGGCTTAGGCTAATAAGTGGCAAGTAGCATTGGTACGATGCAAGTGTCAAGCAATGACCATCCCAAACAATAGAAAATTTAATGGCATTAGCATGGCTGACTCACCCACTATCAACATGCTAAGAGTCACCATTGAAAAGCAAGTGAACTGGGCAGACAGAGGCTGCACATTCGTTGGCAAGTAACTCACCTCTTGCTCCCAATGCCTGTCCACCATAAGGCACAAGTCAGGAGTGTGATTGAATACTCTTCAATTGTCTGGATGGAAGAGCCTCCAACAACACTCAAGGAGATTAGAACTATCCAGGACAAAGTAACCTGCTTGACTGACACCCCATTCATTATCTTCAAAGTGGCAGTGACAATAGTGTGTACCATGTACAAGATACATTGCAGCAAAACACCCTGGCTCCTTTGACAACATCTCCCAAACCAATAACCTACATTCCCTCTAATTTTTCCTGCTGCTGCACGGACCTAAACGATCTGTAAACATCAAAGACCTCTGAAGTCTGAAATCAAGACACCATGCGGATTTGGAACTATATTGCTGTCTCTTTGCTGTTGCATGGTCAAAATGTTGGAGCTCTGATGATGAATACATCATTTGGAATGCAGCACTTTAAGAAGGCAGATCAGCATTACCTTCTCAAAAGAAATTATGGACTCGCAATAAACGTTGTTCTAGCTAGTAATGCTTGCACCCTATAAATGAATTTAAAAAACTCAGGGGGTAGAATCTTCCCGGCCCTGTACAACATGGGCCATTGCAAGAAGCTTGGTAAAATTACGAGATGTCCAGCCAGCAGCTTCTCAACATCAAGAGCAAAAAATTCCCATTTTCCAATCAAGGTTGGAACAGTGTGGATAGTTTGGATGGAGCAAATTTTGTCAGGTATGTCCAGGAAGGATTTCTGACTCAATATGTAGATAGGCCAACTAGAGGGGAGGCCATATTGGATTTAGTGCTTGGCAACGAACCAGGCCAGGTGTCAGATCTCTTGGTGGGAGAGCATTTTGGGGATAGTGATCACAATTCCCTGACCTTTACTATAGTCATGGAGAGGGATAGGAGCAGACGGTATGGGAAAGTATTTAGTTGGGGTGGGGGAATTACAATCCTATTAGGCAAGAACTGAGGAGCATAAATTGGGAACAGATGTTCTCAGGGAAATGCACAACAGAAATGTGGAGGTTGTTTCGGGAGCAAATAGGTTTGTTCCACCGAGGCAAGGAAGGGATGGTAAGGTGAAGGAACTTTAGATGACAAGACATGTGGAACATCTAGTCAAGAGGAAGAAGGAAGCTTACTTAAGGTTGAGGAAGCAAGGATCAGACAGAGCTCTAGAGGGCTACAAGGTAGCCAGGAAGAAACTGAAGAATGGACTTAGGAGAGCTAGAAGAGGGTACGAAAAAGCCTTGGCAGGTAGGATTGAGGAAAACCCCAAGGCGTTCCATACTTTTGTGAGGAACAAGAGGATGGCCAGAGTGAGGGTAGGGCTGATCAGGGATAGTGAAGGGAACTTGTGCGCAGAGTCGGAGGAGGTAAGAGAGGTCCTTAATGAATACTTTGCTTCAGTATTCACCAGTGAGAGGGGCCTTGACGTTTGTGAGGGCAGCATGAAACAGGCTGATATGCTCAAACAGGTTGATTCTAAGAAGGAGGATGTGCTAGAAATTTTGAAAAACATGAGGACAGATAAGTCGCCTGGGCCAGGCTGGATATACCCAAGTTTACTACGGGAAGCGAGGGAAGAGATTGCTGTGCCTTTGGCGATGATCTTTGCGTCCTCACTGTCTACTGGAGTAGTACCAGATGATTGGAGGTTGGAAATTGTTATTCTCTTGTTCAAGAAAGGGAATAGGGATAATCCTGGGAATTACAGACCAGTCAGTCTTACTTCTGTGGTGGGCAAATTATTGGAAAGGATTCTGAGAGATAGTATTTATGATTATTTGGAAAAACACAGTTTGATTAGAAATAGTCAGCATGGCTCTGAGGGGCAGGTCATGCCTCACAAGCCTTATTGAATTCTTTGAGGATGTGACAAAACACATTCATGAAGGTTAAGCAGTGGTTGTGGTGTATATGGATTTTAGCAAGGCATTTGATAAGGTTCCCCATGGTAGGCTCATTCAGAAAGTAAGGAGGCATGGGATTCAAGCATATTTGGCTGTCTGGATACAAAATTGACTGTCCAATAGAAGACAGAGGGTGATAGTAGATAGAAAATATTCAGTCTAGAGCTCGGTGACCAGTGGTGTTCCGCAGGGGTCTGTTCTGGGAACTCTGCTCTTTGTGATCTTTATAAATGACTTGGATGAGGAAGTGGAAGGGTGGATAAGTAAGTTTGCCGATGACACGCAGGTTGGTGGAGTTGTGGATAGTGCGGAGGGCTGTTGTATGTTGCAATGGGACATTGACAGGATGCAGAGCTGGGCAAAGAAATGGCAGATGGAATTCAACCCATAAAAGTGTGAAGTGATTCAATTTGGAAGGTCGAATTTGAATGCAGAATACAGGGTTAATGGTATGATTCTTGGCAGTGTGGAGGAACAGAGGGATCTTGGGGTCCATGTCCATAGATCCCTCAAAGTTGCTACCCAAGTTGATAGGGTTGTTAAGAAGGCGTATGGTGTGCTGGTTTTCATTGGCAGGGGAATTGAGTTTAAGAGCCGCGAGGTTATGCTGCAGCTCCATAAAATCGTGGTTAGACCACACTTGGAATATTGTGTTCAGTTCTGGTTGCCTCATTATAGAAAGGATGTGGAAGCTTTAGAGAGGGTGCAGAGGAGATTTACCAGGATGCTGCCTGGACTGGAAGGCAGGTCTTATGAGGAAAGGTTGAGGGAGCTAGGGCTTTTCTCATTGGAGCGAAGAAGGGCAAGAGGTGACTTGATAAGGGTGTAAAAGATGATGAGACGCATAGATAGAGTGGGTAGCCAAAGACTTTTTCCCATGGCGGAAACGATTATTACGAGGGGGCATAATTTTAAGGTGACTGAAGGAAGGTATAGGGGAGATGTCAGAGGTAGGTTCTTTACAGAGAGTGGTGGGTGGACAGAATGCGCTGCCGGTGGTGGTAGTGGAGTCAGATACATTAGGGACATTTAAGCAACTCTTAGATAGGTACATGGATGATAGTAAAATGTAGGGTATGCAGGGTAGTTTGATCTTCGAGTAGGATAATAGGTCAGCATAACATCATAGACCAAAGGGCCTGTACTCTGCTGTACTGTGCTATGTTCTATGTTCAGCAAAACAAAATTGGCCCAAGTGAACAGCAAGAGACCTACTGCATGCATTAACATCCCATTGTCACTTCATCTCATATGATTAACATGCAGTGTCCCATTCCCTCACTTATCAGACAGAAAATTGAAGGTAACAATTCCTGATATATAAGCCGAGGTGGTTACATGGCAACTCCAGCTTGCTGCTTGCTCATCCAGACCTCCATCTGGGAACCAACATCTTGAGGGCACATTCCATGGACAGCAACTGCATGCACCCCGTGTTATGGGCACTGTCATCCGACAAGTACCAGCTTGTTCACATCATCATGGCACATATCCAATCCACTTACAGTATGGTTCGGCACTTAAATATTGTACTGGCAGTTTTCTTGGAATTCTCCTGCCAAGACTCTCTATACTCAAGCTGGGCATTTCGCTGGATCATGGAGACACCTAGATGACAACCTTGAACCAGGCTGGCTGGGTCTAGCATTGTGACCATCTCTGTCAGTCCTCTGAGGAAGTGGACAACGCTCCTCTGCACCATCCCATTCTCCACAAAGCACTATTTAGTGTGCAGGTCAGCACTGGATTGCCAGTATTTAACTGGGTTTCCTATCTTTATTCACTCACGAGACATGGGCATCACTGGCTATACCAGTATTTATTGCCCTTGAGAAAATGGTGGTTAGCTGCACAACAATCTTTTAAATATGGCACTAGCACAAGCAATCGTGGGAGGTCCTTCAGTGGTGAGGACTTCTGCCAGCAAGTGAGAGAATGGGTCAAGGCGCAGAGTCAATGAAGTGAGTTTCAGACAATTATATGAGAAAACCAGCTCGGCCTAGTGGAGAGAAACAATCAATGAAACATGCCAAAAATGACACAGCCACTTCCTAGTAAGATTCAGCCCATGGTAATTCAAATGAACACAATCGTGCATTGATTAGATGAGCTTGGTCAAACAGCTAGTTTAAAGGAGGATGTTAATGAAGAAAGTCACAGGGAGAAGCTGAGATATTCTGGGAGGAAATTTCACAGTATCAATTCTAGAGGACTCAATTGTGCTCCCAGTGGTAGGGCAAAGTAAGTGGCCATTAGATAGAAGGCCACAGTCAGAAGTAAACAGAGTTTTTGGAGAGTTGTAGGAATGGAGCAGATTACAAAGATTGGGAGGGGTGAGGTCATGAAGGAAGGTATATTGAAGGTATTAATTTCTTGATATCATCTTAAGGCATTAGGAGACCGGAGGTGAAATCTTGTTGAGGCATCGGGAGTCTCATCTGACAGCAGAGTTGGTAAGAGTTCCTCACTGCATTGTTTCAGGACAGCCATCGAACTACAAGCCAATTAGGCAGTGGTGATGCCAGTGGCGGGCCTTCCCATGGAATTAAGACTCCAAAAGCAGAAGTCTCCCCAACTGCGACAGGGAACTGGCCTATCTGCAGGTAGATTAATACCAGCAGCTGCAGCATGAGGCCCCTAAGTGGTCAGTAATTGGCAGGAGATGTGGATAATAATCAGGAGCAAGATTGCCAGCTAACTACACTTCCTCTTTCCTGTTACAGCCCCAGAGTTCAACTGGGTTCAAGTAACTAAGCACAGATTTAATCTGGGACTTTCTTGTCTTATTGTTCAATATCACATTGTGTAATATCAGCCCTCAGATATGATGATAAATTGTGAACCCACATATTTCATCTATTAGTCCACTCCAATGGTTTTCGTTACAAGTAACATGCTTGGTTCCAAGTACTGTACACATATCACATGACAAGGATTTCAGTCTTTGGTCAATATGCAAAAGGAAAGAAACTTTGCAACCATTGGTTTCATTAGAAATGTTTGTTTTGAGTACTGGTAGATTATTCTCATGTCTCAGACATTCTATGCTGCTATCAGCATTCAAATTTACATACATAATTTGACTAGAAAAAGCAATTAATGCTCCATCAAACATGATTACAGTGAAGTTTAGAATAAAATGACCATACTCATTTGTTGTCAAAGATGAAATATAAATGGATAAAACTTACCCCCTGACCAAATGTCACTCTTTCCAATGGCTACAAAGTAAAATGAAGACAACATTTTTAAGCTCTCTATTGGACGACTCTGCAAGCCTATAATTTACTAAAATTGATGCATCACGTGCAGTAAATGGCAAGATTGATGTGAAAAAGTACCAGACAAGCAGACATTCTAGCATTCCGTCCACAACGCCAGATACTGCTTCTCAAGTACTGGCTCATAGGAAATCCCCACAGTCCATGACAGCATTCTGCAGAGAAAGAAGAACGTAAAACTCATTATTCTTCCTTTTGATGTATTCATGTTCTGAAGTAGTTCTAAAATATTATTTTGGACACGTAATGGCTAACATATCAGTTAATACAGAAAAATAAATCAAGAAAATGAGTACTGAAGACAATGCAATAATTCAAAATAAACATGAGCTGTGCTGCAGCACCATATGGTCTGCCAAGTTGTTATTTAGGGCTTCTTCTTTCTTAACTAACATTGTACTTGGCATTATAATAATCTTCTACAGGACCATACATATTTTTAAATTTTAACATTCTGAGGAAGGGTCACAGGATCCAAAACATTAACTCTAATTTTTCTTCACAGATGCTGTCAGACCTGCTGAGCTTTTCCAGCAACTTCTGAAGTCTAGCCATAGAAGAACACACATTATGGTCCAAAAGGAAATGCTCAAAACGCCCTTCCTTGCAGCCTCTTTCACAGTCAACTAATTTAGTGCCAATCTCTGTGAATTGTAGGAGATTTTATGATATGCACTGATAAATGGATTTCGTGTGTAGCAAGTTTGTTTCAGTACACTCCTTGCAGCCAGTAGAAATATGCGACATCTATTCTATCAGCAGAGGTGAGATCTTAACCTGGGGTCTGAGATATTAGGACACATTACTCTGCAGTAACATGTTTTTCTTGAACTATATATTACAAAATCATACCTTTCTTATGCTGCAGTACAATACAGTAGCACAATAATAATGGACTGATATGACTGCTGGGTTAAATCTGGCAAATGCAGAAACTTCACTGATCTTCATCTAACTTAAATGCCAAATGTTGAACTGAAATTGAATAAGTTGATGGAAAAACAAAGATTGATGCAAAATCATTTGCTACAAGGGAGATTGAAACTGAAATGTCCTATAATTCTCCGTATTAAAAGGGAAGTATCTACACACCTACTAGTACCTTTCATGTGCTCCCTGATAACATATTGTATTACATACTTCAAACTACTGCCTGGGGTTTGAGATATGGCAAAATAAATAAAAGTATAATTTCTGGAGGTACTGAACTATTTAAATTGGGATTACCTAACATGCATTGCTAGATAATTACTGGGTTAAGTAATCTTAGCCAGACTAGCAATAAAGGCATTGCTGTTGGTCTGATTGCCCCAGGACGAGAAAGTGTAAATCTCTCAACAAAATGCAGTTTGTTAAAAACTGCAAACAAGTGAATAAAGGGCATGATCGGGATTGGACTTAGTGTTGATGTTTTCATCCAATAGCTCAGTGATATTTGCTTTCTTTGGGTGATGTACAGTTGAACTGCACACAAAGCACCTGTCAACACTTTGGGGAGAAATCTTATGAAGATAAGGCTACATCATGGAGATAAGACTTTTAAATCTGTACGCTTCCTCCTTTCCTCTTGGCTCTGTGTTTTTATATTTCTGCTTTCTTAAAAAACGTGTTTTTTGTATCTTAGATGGTCACTTTGGTTTCTGTATCTAGATGAGGTTTTTGTACCTAAGATGGTGCCAGTGAGTGATAACTTTGCACACTTTTCACTGTATTCCTGTACTTCTGTAATTGAGTACACATGACAATAAAACCTAATTCTAAGTCTAAATTTGGAAATAAACAAACTGTTCAATGGCCTTAAGTGAGAATACATACACTTGTTCCAAGGATGATTCAAACCAGTCGTCTTCAATTGTAAGATAGACTACTAGGTGATTCCTAAAAGACACTCCTAAGTATATACACAGTTTCCTTGCTTATAGTTAGGATCATGTGCCCTTTTAGTACAATACACTTCTCCAGTAATATCTGATAAAAATGGGAGTCAATTTTCTGTAACAATAGTTTTTCAATATAAAAGAAGCTGATCTTGGTAAGCTGAAGCAATAATACACGTAGCACAGACTGTAAACATTTTGATAAAACCAAATCCTTCAAAGGTAAGATATTACAGTCAGGTTATTGACTATTCTCAAGGCACCTTGTGGGAAATAAATGATGGTGGAAACCAATGAAACAACACAAAGACAGGAAGAAAGAAAATGGCTAAACTGTTGCCAGATAAATAGAATAAAAATGAATGCAAAAGAGAATCAACCAAGGATCAGACACAGCTGCAAGTGAGGTAGTAGTCCAAAACTCAGTACATCATTAAATCCAGTTACTGGCAGGGATTATGTTGGAATGAAAGCCAAATTCAAGCTATGGGGAGTAATATGAGAGGGTGGAAAAGCATGTATGCAGCTGAATCCACAAGACTGGAATCAAGTAGTTTTCTCTGCTCTTTAATTATAACAAAGAATTCTTTGGAGGTATCTGGAATAATTTGAAAATAGTGAGTTCTATGGTATAGTGCAGTATGGAAAGCAATCAGTGAATCCATAAGTGTGGGGTAATACTTAATTCTGCCAGTGCAATGTGATGCTTTGATGTAAATTTGTAGGTCCATCTTGAGACATTAAATGAAATGAGGTGGTTGTGATTACAGTCACAATGGATATGGTTGACAACATTAGAGTTTAATCTAAATGCTCATAAATAATGTGCATAAATCTCATGCTAAAGTAATATCACCACTGGTGAATCGTAAGTTTGGTACCAAACTTTAAGAAGGCTTTTGAGCTGACAGCAGTTACAATGAAAATAACACAAGGGAAAGATGAAGAAAGCCTCCTAAATCAGCCCTATATTATACTTTTCATGACTGCAATTAGTTGTCAGCATGCAATAAATCTGAATTGGGGCACTCTCTTTTCTCCCTATCACTCCAGATGAAGGAAAATACTACAGCAAGACTTTTTGATCATTACACTGTGAACTAAGGTTACAACTCTACACTGCTTGCATCAAAATAAAGTCTAAATCCTCATTTATCTAACTTCTGTTCAAGTGATTTAATTGCACACAATATAGTTGTCAGTTAGGCCTACTTGACAATAGTTACTGCACTTCAAAACAACTCATTGCATGAAAAGATAGTAAGAACTGCCGATGCTGGAGTCTAAGATAACACAGTGGGGAGCTGGAGGAACGCAGCAGGCCAGGCAGCATCAGAGGAGTGCAGTGGGAAAGAGATCCACTGAGGTCTTTCTGGAGGGAGGAGGGTAACTTCTTCAAGATAGGCATCCTTAGAAGAGGCTTCGCAGTGGGTTAAAACTCACTCAGAGATAGTTAGAACTGCCGATGCTGGAGCTGGAGGAACACCTACCTACACTCACTTTTACTAGCTTCATCCCCGCCTCCTTGACCTGTTTGTCTTCTCTCCCACGTATCCACTCCTCCCACTTCACTGACCAATCCCCACCACTACCTACCTGCTTTCACCCGCACCCCCATCTCTATTTATTTCAGAGACCCCTTCCCCTCCCCCATTTCTGAAGAAGGGTCCTGACCCGAAACATCAGCTTTCCTGCTCCTCTGATGCTGCCTGGCCTGCTGTGTTCCTCCAGCTCCACACTGTGTTATCTCATTGCATGAAAATTTCTTTCAATGTCGTCAGAGATGTTAAAAGGTGCTATAAATGTACAGTCTTTTTTTTAAACTTTCTCTCCATCCAGATATATAGCATATTGTCACTATTGTGATAATTGAATTTACCATCAGGTATCTTTATAACATCACTTGTCAATCTCACTGACATGATCAAACTGCCTCTGTGATATGAAACAATAATAGTCCACACCTGGTGGACTGCCAAAGAAATTGTATCTAGAAAAAAAGTCAACTATATCAGATTATTTAGTATGTATATCAATGCTATTTGTGAGCCATCATTGTGAGGAAATTGGCTACATATTTCCTACATTACAATAGTGACTACAAAAGTATTTCATTGGTTGTAAAACACCATGGTTACATCACATAAGACACTGTATATAAAAATGCAAGTTCCTTCCTTTCTTTATTAGGATATACGAATACTTAATCCTCAGAGCCAAAATAACAATGATGTCTTCCAACTATTTAGTGGAAACCAAATTAAAAGAAGGGATGACAAGAGGTGACATGGTAATACAGCATAGTGGAGGCCCAATATCCTGTGCTACAAGGCAGAGAAATGATTCCTGCTCTTCATTCTCAACACAGAGCTACGGACCTTCAACATGCCACTGCAGGAGATGTTGTGCAGTCACCTTTGAGTGGTCTTGCATATGTTTCATACTGACCGCTCAGTTACGGTGGCACAGTGGCTCAGTGGTTAGCACTGCTGCCTCACAGCGCCAGGGACCCGGGTTCGACTCCACCCTCAGGCGACTGTCTGTGTGGAGTTTACACATTCTCCCTGTGTCTGCGTGGGTTTCCTCCGGGTGCTCCGGTTTCCTCCCACAGTCCAAAAGATGTGCAAGTTAGGTGGATTGGCCATGCTAAATTGCCAATAGTGTTCAGGGATGTGTAGGTTAGGTGGGTTATAGAGGGATGGGTCTGGGTGGGATGCTCTGAGGTTCGGTGTGGACTTGTTGGGCCGAAGGGCCTGTTTCCACACTGTAGGGATTCTATGATTCTATTAAAAAAAGGAGCAGAAGCCTGGGAGCAATTGGAGATAGGTGGGCAATACTTGGAGTCATTGAGAAATTCAAGGATGAAAGTATTCATTTTTAGAAATTAATAGAGCCCTACTCCCAAACTGTCTTGCCGACAGTTTCAGTATCTCATCTGGGGAGTAAATAGCTTTTTAGAGCATCCTGTTATCTATGTTACAATTTTCCCCTCAATATTAAATCTCATTTCAGCATTTGAACAACAAATTTAAAATTGACATAAATATTAGTTTACCAGCAGGAACCTTCAAGTCACTTAAAATATACTTGTTTGTACCACTCATACACTAGATGTTTCCTTCTTCAAAACAGAGGCTGCAAATAAAACAAAAACTATCTTGTTTAATACACAAGGAGCTATGTTTCCATATCAGCTATGCACTAATCAACAACATAAGAGGACTATATGGGTGGTTTCAATTAAGTTATATGCTCAAGTATTCTGAACGTCATTTAAT